ATGGTCAAAGAAGTGGCAAAGAAATCACTGCCTCAAATTATTTGCGTAAGTCAGCGGGGCATCAATTTTATTCTTACTACACTTTTTATAGGTTTTCTTTATGCTTAGATTGAATAGAAAGTGGTGTAACCTAACACCAAAGTGAAGAAATTAAACTGATTGGGATGTAAAAAGTGTTATAGTTTATTCGGTATTTATACTGTATGAAGGGGAGTATCTCCTAATTATTTTTAATGAGATAATCCCGACTCAATTTAAATATTTATACATATAATTAATATAGCAATTCAAAGAATTGTAAATATTATTTGTATGTATTTTATTTTCCTCACTAAAATTTACCCTAGTTAACTCGATTAATTATTGCTTTTCAACATTTCAAAACTGCAAACCTAGAAACAGACAGCCACGCCTCTTGTTATTTTGTTTCGGTTCACCAAAACCATAAATCACTGTGACAAATTACTAACACGCAGGCCAGTCACTGTCACCAGTCACTGGTCACAGTCTCACCATCTCAACATCACCATCATCATAGGTTTTTGAGTGCGAGTCGCAGTTCCATCGCCAAAGCGATCCCGAGAGTCTCTTTGGCGAGCGGGCGGAATGCGCAAGCTTTTCATGCGTAAATTTATGTGCCTGCCAAGCGTCGTAAACATTTCTTTCGTTCAGACTTCAGGCTTTGGCGCTGCTTTCTATTGCCCGTCTCTTTCGGTCCACATCTAGCCCTCTCTTTCAGTGCCAAACTGTGCGCAGCTGCAGAGCGTTTCACCCACGCCGGCCCAAGGCAATGGCATATAATTCACAAACACACACTCTTGGATACACAGAACGAAATATATTGCTACTATTCAATGGTATTTTATGTTCAAATGTGGAATTATATTGATTTAAGATCAATTTTAATGTTTTATGACAGTTGAACATTAAAAGTTAAGCTTGAAAGCCTAGGTAAACAAAGTTAAATTAAGTAAAAACGCCTTATCGCAGGATGTTGGTAACAGACCATTTGTAAATGTTGTGTTTGTACCCCCAAGAACTAAGTTTTCAACCAGAAAATAAGGTTTCAAACGGAAAACTAATTTTTAAAATTTTTTTTAAATATAAAACTAAAGTCGAAACTAAATGAAATTATAAACTTTATCAAAAGCTACGTGTACAGTGCCTATCCATTAAGTACATGCTCATATGTCTGGGCAATTTATGAGTGAAAAGCTGCGACTTTTACAAATTGAAAACGCCATAAATTCAATTAGAGTTTTCAGCCTTTTCCCCTGGCGCCTTTACAGCGGCTCCTCTGCAAATCAGAGCAAATCGTGCCAAGAGCCTGATTCCAATTCAAGATTCGAGATTTGCGATCCAAGATCTGAGATCTGAGATCCGAAGCAGGTCGCTAGTTGCGCCCCAATTACTCCATTATAACATGGTCCAGCCCCTTCGCCATCGCCTTCGCCTAGGAAATCTCCAAATTAGTTTCGCGCATTAGACTCAATTAAACGAGATCTTCACATTCGCGGCACGCTTCATGGGAAATCTATTTATTTAGAGAGAGAGTCTGGCTAAACAAATATGTAAATCTTCTGGCTGTGCGTGTGCCTTTGAAGTTGCTTTGGTTTATTTTTTGGCCTTCCTTTGGCTGGCCTTTTAATTGCCTTGAAGTTAATTTTTCATTTCCAGAAGAACATAAAACGAAACGTTTTGTAACCGGGCCGAAACATTTTCCCTTTATCCCCTCCTTCCACATTCCCACATTTCAAACACTTGTAAATATTTTCGTGTTGCATCAACAAACATTGTAATCGAAATTTTTGCGTCAGAGTCAGAGTCAGAGCAAAATCTTCCATTAAGATTGATGCCCGCCCATGGCCGGGCCCAGATTGGATAATTATCTTTTGGGGCAGGGCAAATACTAAAGACTTGATACTTGAAGGGATATGTAAATCATGTCAGATGGGATGAGGCATTCCAAGGGAGATGATGATGATGCAGAGTTGGGAAAGAGATATTATATAGAGTTCCAATTAAATGCTTCGATGACGGATGCAAATATCCCAAAAAGCTCTTTGAACTACAATATTTTTCACTAGCAAATAAATGTCGCTGCCAAAATGAAAACTTTGTACTTATTCTGTTCATAGTTTCCTTAGCACTTAACATTCAAAATCTTAATATCTCAACTTTGTGTGTTTTTTGCCAGTTGGAGTTTGAGTTGTCGACGAGGAAAACTAACTGAAGAAGGAATTGTTGCTTATTTCGGGAAAATAAGCGCAGAAGGAAGGAAACTTTGCCTTTGCCATATTTGCATAGTCTGCAAACTTATGGTTTCTTCTTTTAGGTTCCTATACAGTAACATAAATTTCAAAAGAACTTCCGTTAAATACCTCTCATCTCCCACCGCCACCCCACGTGGAATTTATAACAATAACAGAGCTGAGCTCATCGAACATTTTTTAGCTCATACACTGTTTCTTTTTCTGTGTTTTTCTTATACATCTGTTTGCTTTTATTGTGGAATATATATTGTGTATTTATTTTTACTCTTTTGTTGATCTTTTTATTTTTTTTTTTGGCTCTGGCCCGTTGCTAATTTGTTTACCTGAGAGAGAGGCAGAGTGTACGCGCTCTTGTTTATTTTCAACAGCATTTTTTTGGGACCAGTTGAGACCAGAAAAAACAAAAAAAAAAAAAAAACAGGTAAGCTAATTGTGGCTAAAATCAATTTTTGTAGCCAAACAGCTGGCAAAAATTCACAGAAATCGATAGGAAATGTTTCAAATTTTAGCTTTATATTTGTATTGAATTTTTAGGTAATAGAATACTGAATAGAATAGGTATAGATAACTTTAAAACTTTCTTAGTATAGAAGAAAGATAAAAGAAGAATATACAAAATAAATTGCTTTCTAGAAAACCTCATTGTAAAACCTTTATTTAAATAATTTTCTAAGACTTAATATATTAAATGTACTCTTCAATCTACTAGATTTTAGTCAACAAATTGAAATCGAAATCAAAAACCAGAACATGGTTATAAATTTTTTTCGGGGTGGCTGGTTTTTCAATTCTCAGAAATATGTTTAAAACAAAACGTGTTGAAAAGCTTGCCACAAAGTGTTTTTGCATAATATGCAAACGCACGGGAAGCACACAAATCGGGGGGAGAAATGAATTGTAAATCAAATCAAATGTTTAACACATGGAAAGCACTCGTTGGGGGTAAATGAGGCAAAAATTATAATTCTGGCGGCGGCGGCGAATGAACAAAAAAAAATTGGCACACCGAAATTTGCTCAATGAACAGAAAATAAAAATAAAAAACAAAAACAAAAAAAACCTGAAGCTGCCCATAATTATTGAGCGTTCGTTGATGTTATTTTTGTTGCTTTTGTTTGAGGGCATGAAACTTGTAGCGCTTCATCTCCTCAAGTTCAAGTCGCAGCTTCAAGTTCGCGCTTGATTTATGGGGCAAATTGGCGGCTAAGATCTCCACCAGACTGAGCCCCCAAATAAAGTTTCTCTCTTTTTTTTACGGGTTGAAAAGAAAAAAAACCCATTCTGGCCCCAGACAGGTAGCAGCTGCGCCTAATTGTCGAAAGTATCTCTTGGTCGGTCTGCTGGCTGGGCTGAAGATACATTTCTTTTTGTCACGTTTAGTCACTTCTCTTCTGTTCTGATGTCAGACGGATAGAGGCAACCTTGAACCTTTTTTTCTTCATTGTTTTTCTTGTGGCCCGGTCTGCTTTTCAAATATTTATAACCCGCTATCCACAAAACTTTTGCTTTCGTTGTTTCGTATTGCTAATTGGCGCGGAAATCGTTTGCCAGAAGCCGGTTTAAACAATCGAAAATTGTATAAACCAGTTTTGGGCATTAGAAGCCCATGAATTTTTCATTGCTAAAGTCACATTTAGGTTTGACTTATACCTCGAGGGTGGCCATACACATTCTGCCACATAATTTGATTGAGTAAACTATTGGCGGCAATGACTTTGGCTTAATTATAGGAATTTTTCAATTAATGTGGGAGGCTGGAAAATTGTTTGAAATAGAGAGAGTAATAGAATGTTTTGATGATAAGATAAATTATTGATAGTTTGTTTGATAAGAAATTGATGGTTTTTATGTTGTGAAACTTTAGTTGGTTTAGTTTTTGTTATTTCCTAAGTTTTAATGGAAGAATAGTGACAAGAAGACAAGTGATTAATGGAAATTATTTCATAAAATGTAATTGTTTCACGTATGTTTTCTACACCTTCCATAAAAGGTTACATCATTATTTGCTAAGACGAGAATTATGTTGTCATTCAAATGATTATCTCACTTGAGATTTAGAAAGGTCAAGGTGGTCTTGAGATATTATCTAGCGATTTATAGCTTGAAAATACAAATTGACAGCATTTTTAAGTGGTTTAAAAGTAATATTAAGTTTGACTTAAAACTTTTAATAGTTCAAATATATTTTTTAAAGTAAATCAACTCCTAAAACTTTTCTCTGGTGTATTATTTATCCAAGATCTAGCTAGAGCTAGGTCAAAAATCCTTTGGGATCGCTTTTCGCATAAATTTCTTGGTACTTTAGGAGCTTTCTCCTCACACTTCTGGTTTATCTAGATGTATGTATCTAAGATGCTGACTTTTTCATTGCAATTTCTGTATGTTTTCTTTCAGTTTGGAATATTATTTTTATTATTCCCTCAAGATATTCAAACTATAATCTAAAGAAAATCAAATGTGTTTCTGCCAATTCATGATTTATCCTAAAATCTCCTCCTTTCTAGCTTAGGTCTCAAATCATTTTCCCCACCAAGTCCTCCCAGATCGCTTTTCGCATAAATTTCCTTGTACTTCAAGAGCTTTCTCCGAACACTTCTTTCGTATCTAGATGAATGTATCTTCATGTTTGTTTCCCATTTCTTGTACGTTGTTTTTTTTTATATGTTTTTGTTTTTAGTTGTTTTTTGTATGTGTTTTTGTTTTTGGTTTTTTTAGTTTACAACTCACTTGTAGGAGCGCTATCACCAGCTGTACGGGTCCGCAGCGGACGACAACGGTGCCAATGGTGGTGGCTCTGAGGGAACCTGTGGTGCTGCCAGAGGTGGCATGATGGTGGTGGTGGCTCGTGGACATGCCCGTGGACATGGCCTGGCTTGGAGTCGGCGACGATGATGACATTGTTGCTGAATAATTGAAGGCGTCTAGTTGGGACTGCTGTGACTGCTGCGATTGCTGTGACTGAAGCTGGCGGGGATGCGGATGGGGGTTCGAGGAGGAGGCAGCCGAGTACAGCGAAGACATCGATGAGTCTAGGGCTTGGCGGCGTTCCATGATGGTTCGTTTTATTTTTCTTCTTTCCTCTGGACTTGGACTTGTACTCGGACTTGGACTCTTTTGAGGACTGGTGAGGAGTGCTGAGTGGTTGGTTGGTTGTCGGCTTAGCGGCTATGTGTAGTTTTGTGTGTGTTTTTTCGCGGGGGCGTCTTTTATAATCTCTGTCGTTTTGTTTTCTCTCGTTGATGTTACCTCTATGCCGGATTATTTCGCGTGTTGTGCATTTTGAACTCTGCTCGGGGAATGAAGATGACTTTTAGACTTTACAAACGAGTCACTCGCGTTCGTTCGGCTTAATTTATTGGGTTAGTTATATAGCGAATAGCTAGAGGAGGATTTGCTTCGTTTCGATTTCGGATCGTTGCGAACGCTATCAACGCCGGCGATCGTCTGAGAACCTCTGCGAATCGGTTGATTTTCGAAACGGACAATTCTCGACTATGACTTCATACACGCGCTCTCTCTGTCTCTCCTAGTGCGCTAGTGCCTTGTTTATTATTGTTTCTATACTTATGTATATATACACGGTTAGAAAATATAAGAAATTTCAGTTTTTTGAAAAGGGTTTTGTATTATTTTTGAGGTTTTTTATGATTTTAATTGGGTTTCTAATGTATCTAGATAAGCAAAATTAAAATCCCTTTATTTAAATCAATGGGAATGGTAACCTGCATTTATTTTATCCACTAAATATTGTTAGAATTATTATTAAACAAAAATTTTCAATGGCTTATAGATGTTCTTAATTGTTTATTATGCAAAATACAACAGTTTTTATATAGTTATGAATAAAATCCAAGAAAATTTGCTAATGTGCCCCAGAAATCTTTAAACTAAAATCTAAAACTTCACTCTAGTGCTTTTTATACCACCTATTTTATATTAAATTTCCATTTAAGAGACCTATTTTTCTTGCTGTGCACCTAACTAATATGCCGAGAGCATTGCTTTGTGTGTACTTTTTGTTTTTTGCATATTGAGCCTGAGAAAATTGCCTTTGATGCGTGTGCTAGTCTCGTTCCCCTCTGCTCTCCTCTCATGACAATGTTTCTCGATTCGCAGTTTATTTTTAAACAACAAACTATTGAGTAATTTTTCGCGGCGATTTCTGCCACGAAGCTAAACTGTTGTTCTAGCCCAGATACAGAGATGCACAAGAGATTTGCGGCTACAGATAAACCTTACGGATGTGCGTCAGCTTTTGTGTAACAACCAAAATGTATCCACGAGATATTCGGAACATGTGCCAATTGCATATTGGCAGGAGTCGTCAGTTGGTCGTCATCATGGTTTTTGGGGATCCACGAATTTACATATATGCTTATTTGGATATTTTTGAATATATTACGCATACGACGTGTATGCTGGTGTGCAACCAGCTGCTGCCTGTATTAGGTAATTTTATTATTTTTTTTTGGGTGTTTCTCACAAAATTTTAATAGTCGCCGCCGTTTGTTGCCTTCTCTGGCGGCGTAATGTAAACTATTTTAATTGTACTTTTCGCTGGCTAAAAATAAGACGGCGCACAAATTGGGAAGAAGAAGTCCCTCGGTCCCTATAAAAGTTTACAGTAACGAAAATTGAGGAAATGCTTTCGGGACTGGACCCCCATATGTTGTTGTCCAAAAAGAAAAACTATTTTGTTGATTGAGATTTCTGGGGCGTGGTAGTAAACCATGGAAACTATATAGAACCAAATTTTTTTAAGTAAAAGAAAACCTGCGAATGACTCAAAAGTCTTTAGCAAGCTCTCAATGCATCAAGTCATTGAATATTTTTCAAAAAAATATATATCTCTGGCCGCATTTTGTGGCAAATATTCTATTTGTTAAACATTTTATTTTGTTTTCAGCTCGTTGAGGGTCGTCGTCGTCACAAAACTGTGCGAGGAGGGGCAACAACAATAAATTTTAGCACACTTTTGTTGATTTCAGACGCCAACATTTTTTTGTATATATTTTTGAATGCCAAAAATGTTCTCAGTAAATTATTGCTGATTAAAATATGTTTTCCTTTTTTTTTTATGTTTCGAAGTGGCGAATTTATTGCCGTCTTCCTCTGCCAGCCCCCTAACTTAATTTACATAGATATGTTTTTATTCGCACATTATTCGAACGGAGGAGATGTGAGTGAATGAATGAGTGTGTGAAACGCGCGCGCGCCTCTTTTTTTCCACACAAAAAACTGCCGAACAACCGAACGCCGCGAACTTTGAATAAGACTGACCAAAGTTCCGAAGACTGAAGACTGCAGATCCCACAAAAGTGAGAAGAATCTACGGGCCAGCAGAAGATCGGCAGAGAAGAGAGCACATTCAGTTGAATATTAACCGATTCGCTCAGTTCAAATGATGTTTATATGAGCACTCATATACTCATTCACTCTCTGCGGATCTCTTCGCTCTCCCTGAGCTTAGTTTTGGAAAAAGCCGGCTTGATCTTTGTGGAGAAGAGAGAGGTCTAGAGCTGGTGGTTAGGGGGGAGAGTAGGGCGGGACGGGGTGGTACATAAATAAACAAGTGCTCTTGGCATTCGCGGCGTCGTTAATTCATGATTTCAATTTTTAATGCCCTGCGCCCGGCTTTTCAGCAATTACAATACCAACAAAAGGTATGAGGCGATATGAAGAGTGATATTATAGAAAATAGAAATAGAATATCTAGTACCCTGTATAGATTGAGTTGCTTCTGAATTGAACATGATTTTACAGCTTATATTAGTTAATTATTTATTTTATTTTAAAAGGCCTTATTAATATTCCCTTGCTCTCTTCTTTCATCTAGAAAAGAAATATATTTATCCAATTTTATTTTATTATCAACTCGACTGTTTATGCTAAATACTGGTTTTGGAAGCTTCTGACTAAAATTATAATACCCTGCAAAGGAAACGGAGGAATGTATGCAATTTGGTGAATCGATCGAATAAAAAATTAATCATAACTTGGTCGAAAATCGATTAATTTTGATTCGGAAAGCGGTGTCGTGTTAGTTTTTATTAGGGTAATAAATCTGCATACTCAATAAATAATGTAAAAAAATTAAATTTTTATTCCCAAATTTCAACAATGTTAAACATGTAAAATTTTGAAAAAAATTTTACATATCTTTTCTTGTTCCGAAGATGGCTAGATCGACTCGGTTTTCGATGCTGATCAAGAAAATATATGATTTATAAGGTCAGAAATGACTCTTTCAATATTTTTGAAGCTTCTGGCTAAAATTATAATACCCTGTAAGGGAAAAGGAAGAATGTATGCAATTCGGTCAATAAATCGAATCAAAAATTAACCATAACTTGGTCAAAAATTAATTAATTTTGATTCGGAAAGCGGAGTTGTGTTAGTTTTAATTAGGGTAAAAAAAAAAAACTGCATACTCAATTAAAAATGTAAAAAAATTAAATTTTTTCTCCTAAATTTGAACATTTTTAATGATATAAAAATTCGAAAAAAATTTTAAATTTTATTTTTCTACCTGACATGACTTCGCTGTTCGTGCTGATCGCGAATATATACGATTTATACGGCCGGAAATGACTCCTTCACTGTTTTTGAAGCTTCTGACTAAAATTATAATACCCTGTAAGGGAAAACGAAAAATGTATGCAATATGTTGAATGGATCGAATAAAAAATTAATCATAACTTGGTCAAAAATTCATTAATTTTAAATCGGAAAGCAGTGTTTTGCAATTTTTGGTTAGGGTAATAAAACTGCATACTCAATTTAAAATGTAAAAAAATTAAATTTTTTGCCCTAAATTTTAACAATTTAATGATATACAATTTCAAAAAAAATTAATTTTTTTTTTTTCTACCAAACATGACTTAATCGATTCGGCTGTTCATGCTGATCACGAATATATATGATTTATAGGGTCGGAAATGACTCCTTGACTTGTATTTCCTATTATTATTATATCGAAATTGATTTTTATAAGTATCCCTAAAAATGCTGTGTAGTTGACTTGTTGAACATGCTGCCCAATATCCCCTCTGAAAACCATGGGTACCTTAAACCACAATGTGCTCAAGTGCAGCGTTGGTACTTTAATAACAGAGTGAAGAAGAGAGGACGAGCAACAAAATAACAACACCAGAAAGAACAGCGAAAAAAAAGTAACCAGACTGTATCGTGTCTTAATAGATGCCTGCAGTTGGCGGCAGTTGGGGAACTGACCGCCCGCATTTAAGTTCCCTTTTCCGATCGAAAATATTCTCCCCCCCCCCCCTGAAAGCCCCCTTCAGCGATATATATTTTCCACCCAAAATGCGTGTCTTGAATCTTGACTTTTGCTTTGATTCGAGACTTTCGATTCGTGCAATATCCATCGCTTGTTGCATGCAACAGACAGAGCAGATGCTGCAGCAATCAATACCCAGTTGTGTGTGTTATTATTTTCCGCTATCAACGGCGAATCCAACTTATCGAATTATACTTTCAGCGCCATTAAGTCACGAAATCTGTTCAAATGGCACGAAAAGAATCTTTCAAAGAGAGAAGGAGAGATATTCTTGGATGATCATCACCACACTCGGAATGTTTTATTTATTTGTTTTTAATTGAGATTAATGAGCCACTTGAGGAGACTCACATTCTGAATACCCCTTAACCCGATTCAACCCCTCACAACACCCACAGCCAGTTCACATTTGAGATAATTGAAATCACTTGAGAACCGTTTGTTAAATGCCTAGGGAAAGGGCCACCCACAGGGGAAAAATTCATAAATTTTCAACCATTCAAAATGTTTTTAATTATATGTTTTAATGAAAATGATAATGCCTAAAATTATGCAATGACTTTGGCAGTTAAAGCTGTACCAAGTGATGTAAAATTATGTAAATAAAACATACTTACTTTTTTGGATAAATCAAGAATTAGTATTTATATTAAAAATCAGCTGAAAAGTGTCAAAAGTTATTCACAAACGTATGTCAAATGATTAGCTTTATTTTTTGGGATTTGGGATAAAACACATTCTTTAATTAATTAATTGCACTCTATATATATTTTTGTGACTGCGTGTTTGGAAGGAAAATAGTTATAAATAAATTTTTAAACATATAAATTAATGGCAAAAAATTTCGACTGGCTGTGACGGAATTTAAATTCTTAAAATTAAATATTAAATTTAATGCATTTCGGGGTGGAATTCTCTAATTTTGCATGCCTTAAACTAAATTTCAACTATAAAAATAAATAAGTTTAAAAGCTAGATGGTAAAGCAATTTTAAAATTCAATAAAATAAATGTAGATTTAATATTATGCATAGTTTTCAGATAATTTTCATAACAAAATCAAATTTAATATATTTCTCAACAAAAGTTTAAACTGAAATAATAAATTTGTCATAGAACAGAGAAAAATCATGCAAACGAAAAATAGAAAACAAAACAAAAGAGAAGATAAACTTTTAGCTCATGGGCTAAAATAGGTTTTTTGTTTTTAGAGGGGAAAAAGATCAAAAAATAATATGCCAACTAATTTTTGTGTTAATTAATGGCAAGAATGTCAAGCATCGGCAGAGCAGCAAATGGCGCGGTTTAATTGGTCGAAAAATCGAGTTTCTCTATTCTTTTTATTTTTCGTTCAGGTGGAAATTCTTCCTCAAGAGAAATCAAAGAAATCCCTTTATCGTTTGTTTCGTTATATTCTCGTAATATTTACTGCGTCGCCAGGACGCCGGCGGTTTCGGTTCGTTTGGGTTAGTGGAAGCTAGAGCATTATGGCAGCTACTGCTCACCTCCGGTGTATGGGCATTGGATCTTCTTGGTGCCGTCTCCGTCGTTATTCCAGTGGCCAGGCTAAAGCCCTCCACTTCGCTATCCGATTCGATGGCCTGGGGCAATGGGAGTGGCAGTAGCAAGTGCTCCTGCTGGTGCTGCTGCTCCTCATCCGGCGTGGGCGTGACACTCTGACTATGCAACTCGGCCACACCCACCACACTATCCTGATCGTGGTCCTCGCTCTTCATAGTCTGCTGATGGGCGGAAAAGTAGCTCAAATCAGAGCTATCAAAGGACATGTTGACGGGCGAGGGCGGTAGCTCGGGTATTTCAAAGGTGCTCAAGGTAGAATCATCCGCCTCATCAAAGGAGTTCTTGGCCGAACCTATATAAGAGCTAGTGCGTCCAGAGGCTGTTTGGAAGGAGGAGGAGTGCGAATTGGGCGTGAAGTTACCCTCGGAGGCTGTAGCAAAGGACTCGTCCTCGGTGGAGCGAGAATGCCAGTCCTGTTAGGATTAGTATATATAATTTTAATTTATTTATTAATCAGTTATAAATAAAAAACCCACCTCAATGCTGCCCAGTTTCTTGATGCCACTGCTGATCCCATTGCTTGCAGCTCCTTCTTGCTGCTGGACATCCCGTATAACTGCATCCAGGGATTCGGCCACCTCGGCAATGGCCGACAACTTGTGAGAAATGGCGGCACAGGCCAGTTCGTTGCTTCCCGTAGGAACTACCTGAACGGTGGCTGGCAGGGAAGCCTCCAAAGGAGTCTCACTTCCAGCACTGCTGGTTCTTCCACTGTCATGTAGCAGGGGACTGGGACTGCAATCCAGAGGCAGTTCATCGGCCACAACACTGAAATCACCAGAGAGACGAGGATTATCGGGGGGTCCGGAGTCCAAGGAGGCAGTGCGCGAGTGCGAGGGGGTCTCATTGTCGGTATAATCGCTGCAAGGATAAGTCTCACTGTCGTTACGAATGAGAGCCTTGATCTTGTCCAGACTTTGGAGTGGTTCCCCATGCTGTACTGATCCCGTATCGACCTCATCCTCCTCTTCGGGTTCGGTCTCTTCAAGAATTATATCCCTTTCTATGGAAGCCTTAGCTATTTTTGTTTTCACACTGGAAGTACTGGCCGTCTCATCGTCATCGTCATCATCATAATCATAATTATTGTGATCTTCCTCCTCTTCACCCTGTGTGTCCTCGCTGCTTGTTTCCGGCAGCTTACTAGCCTGATTGATGGCCTCCAAAAGCCGGCTCAGATCGTTGGACGAGTCACTAAGGATCTCATCGGGATGCTGGACCAAATCCTCCTCTTCGCTAGCCAAGGGAGCAGCAGCCAAAATATCACTCTCATTTTCAGTTTCGGTTTCGGTTTCACTTGGAAATTCCATTTGTGGAAGCTCTTCCTCTTTGGGTGGCTCATCCACCACAATGCTGGGTACTTCCATCCGGGGGGACACTTCCTTATCCTCCTCCTCCTCAGCGTCACCCTTTGATTTGGCAAACAAATTACGAAATCTGGCAAACATTGCCGGTTTTTTCGAGTTCTTTGGCGCCTCTTTTTTATTTTCTTTTTGGGAGAAACAATTAGTTTGACGTAAGACCCTCTAACACGCTTTTGGCTAGTGGCCAGTTAAAGGGGATGGATGTGTGTCTCTCTCTCTATGATAATTGTGGGATTCAATTATTTCACTTCACCCAGGGATTTAGCACTCTTTTTTTTAGTGCGAAAGAATAATCGGAGAAATCATGAAGACACTTCTATATTTAACACTATTTCGTATCACAATTCTTCCTCTACTTTGGCCCACTTGTCGCTGGCCGTCTCTTCTCCAGGAGATCTTTTCGGGAAATCACTCTATATATCTTTAGTATACTATATATAAGTGTTCCATTAATTTGACAACCTGACAGTTGTTGTCTTGGCAAGAGAACCGAGAACCGAGAACCGAACGCCGAACCGCACTGGACCACGCACTGAAATAGACTGCTTGGATTTGGACGCCGACTCTTAAGCGGATTGTCTGCTATATGCTTCTATATAGTTCTTTTATTTTATTTCAATATTTCTGAGTGGTGGTGGTGCGTCTCTGTCGCTTCCTGACATTTGTTTTATTATGTCAAAAATTATTTTTGGTTGTGTTCTTTGCGGTTACTTGGGAAATATTGTGCGGTTTGATGGGTTCTGAGATCTATATTTTATTGAGACATTAAGTATGTGTTGTACACGTGTTAAAACCACTTGGAAATTTAGTTAAGTTTTACTTTTTATGCTATTGATGATTATAAACAAATCTGCATGACTTTTATAAAGGCAAATCCATTCAAATTTGTTTTTAAAAAAGAAAACATATTGCTTTCTTCAGTTTGAGTTCATATTTAATTGATTTCATCATCTTTTAATGATAAATAACCATATTTTCTTGGGTTTTTTTTTTAAGGGTATCAGCAGTTTGCCTTGGGCCCCTGCACATATTTGAGTTCCCATTTATCATTTCTTTTAGTTTTATTTCTAGCAACTTGTTAGTTCGTTGCTCTTGGTTAATTTGCTGGCGAGCAAAACTCGTGGGATTTGAGTGAAAATCTTAGTTGATATGCACAACGTTTTTCCTTGTTTTTCATGCGTTGAGCATAATGAATTAGAGACCAGGTTGAAGTCCAAGCACTCGCCACTGGATGGGGATTTTGTTATGGTTGGGATAATTGAAATGGACTTACCTCTTGCCAGTGAGTGCATCCAAGACGAATGGCTCTTTGAGACGCTTCTTTAGGAGTCTACCCAGCCTGACCATGCGACCCACCTCCACGAGGAGCTGTTCCCTGGCCAGCAGATGACGCTGCAAACGGGGAGGCATCTCTCCGAGTGGGGATAGTTCCGATTCGGTTTCTCCCTCGGCATCGCTACTAATGCCACTGCTACTCCGATTGTGTTGATGTCTCTGATGACGATGCAGTTGAGCAGCCAATTCCTGGGTGAGAAGTGGCCGGAGTTCCCGCAGCTGACGGTAATAGGCCTCCACACTGCGATGAAAGACAGCGGAGACCCGTAGACGGGTCATTTGTTCCTGGGCAATTGACTGAAGACTGTGCCAAGTGTGCTGCAGTTGCTCACCAATGGAGGTGGGATCGGAATGGGAATGGTCCAGTTTGCAGCAGAGTCTTAGGGTTTGAGAGGCCTCCAACAACTGACAGCCATAGTGATAAATACTCTAAACAATGGAAGGAAGGGGAACTTTAATTAATATTCTCTGTGTACAACCATTAGAGACCTTGATTTTCCTACTGAAAATGGAAATAAGCCTCAAATATTTATCGGTCACTCTGCCGTTAGCCCAAAACTGGCTCTTCCTTTTTCCATCTCTTTCGGCATTTCTCTTTGCTCTCTCTCTCTCTCTCTCTCTATCTCTTTCCTTGTGTTGCCAAAAAAAGAAGAAAGAAAAACTCACCCGTCCGGTTTCCTCGAACCCCTGCAACTCGTCCTTCTGCAGCTGTATCTCATGGATGTTGCAGCCCACATGGGAGTGGCAACGCAGCAGAACTGCATATAGCTCCCGCAGCCAGTCGCGCGCCCGCCTTGCATCCTCCTCGTAGGCATGGATGTGGGTCACCTGCTCCAAGGTGAGCCGCTGCAATGCCAACCGTTGCCCGCACACCTGCCTCCTCCGGCGGCTGGCATCGATCTGCCGCCGCAGCTGGGCAATGTCCGGACTGTAGTCCAGCTGGAGGTCACGGCCCAGCGCGTCTTTCACCGGCATCGCAAGCATGTCGCTTAGCTTTTCACCTTCGCGCACAAGTTCGCGTTCGATGTTGGCTGTGAACGAGAGAGGTTTGATGTTGCAAAGTGTTTGAGTTGGATGTTTATAGTTTGAGCTGATCTATCTGCGAGGTTCGAGTTGGAAGTGATCTATCTTATGGATTTACTATTTTCATTCAAATTTGAAAGCGTGACTTTTATGTAACAGATTTTTAATGAAGTCTGGTCTAGTTGCTATTGTTAGATCTATTGTCACAGTTTTTGTTGATTAACATTTAATTGCAAGTAATGTTAATGCTCTGATTGGCACTAAATACCTATTCAAAAATATGTTTAAAATTCTCACATAACTCACCCAACATTTGCTGATTCTTTTTGAGCTGCATGAGTAGCTGCTCTGCCTCAGGCCAATCCAGGGATCTACTGTCCACCTCCACCACATGGTTACCTGTGACCAGCAGCTGCTCAAATTGCTCCAATAAACGTTGAAATCTCAAGGCAGTCATCAGAACATTCCGTCTTCGCTCCAATCTCTTGGCAAATGAGCGGCATACAAACTGCATAAAATCCCGCTGAGAGAGTAGATCCTGGCAAGAGCCCTGATCCTTGGCAGATCCCTCTCGTTCCCCTGCAAATTTCTGGACCTTGTAGAGCAACTCAGCATAGCAACCGTAGGTGTCACGGCACTCCAACTCCAGCTGATCATGAGCGGATCGCAGGGCCTCGCAACCGCGCACATCCTGACCCACACTTCGCTGGCGACTCAACAGCTGCTCCGCCTGCTGCAGGATCCAATTGGTGACAAAGGCCACGCCCTCCTCCAGGGTCGCCAGTTCGCGTGCCTCTCTCAGAGATCGAAGCAACTCCAGCCAGGCGGTTCGTATGGCTGTCTGTTTCTTTTCAATCTCATTCAGTCGCAGTTCGATGCGTGCACGCTCGCAGACCAGATCCGGTGGCAAAAGGGGTTTCTGTGGGTTGTTGGGGGAAGATGCAGAGGCGGCGGTGCTGCCCCCTGAAGCTGTGAGGGGGAGTCCACTGGAGAGACAGGTGCGACCGCTTGTGGCGGCGATGAATGCGTCTCGTAGACCTCGTTGAAGCGGGCCAAGATCGCGTTACCTGCACAATGCACCACGCATCACATGCAATAGAGTAAAAGGTGAAAGAGGAAAAGGCGGGAAATGGGAAAGAGAAGTGTACAGTGAGAAAAAATTGGAAACTTTTCAAATAAATTTTTGCTTTGGGAAAATGTTTATATTCCTTAAAATAACTTAAATGATGAAAAGGGGATAATTAAACTAGATTATACAGCATCATTTAATAATTTTTACCCCCTTTTAACGAGATTTTACTTCAAATTTCGTTCGGTTTAATTGGCGAAGCTATTTTCTAGAAAGAAAAGCGAGAGCTTTTTATATAAAAATTGATAAATATTATAATTCCTTCATCTATAATTTCGTATAGTGATTTTTTCCTTGGTGTACCTTAGGGCTTTTACTGCAGGGTATCTATGTATCTCCACCTATTAACCATTCACAAGTCCATAGAAAAGTGAAACCTCATTCTCGGGCCTTAGGCTTTAACTCGGAATCTGCGTCTGACTTGGTTTCTTGTGGCATGTGCCACCATTTCGTTGCGCATCAACCACTTTTGTGGCTTTAAGTGAAAGGTCACGTTTGTCGTTATTTTTATGTTGCCAAACCCACGCACTCCATAGAGAATTCAACTGAATTTGAAGTGTGAACACAGTTTTGAGCACAGTTTTGTGGAGAAAGAAAGATGATCTTAACCGCAAATGATTCTCAAAAACAAAATAAATAAGAAAAATGTAATAATGAAATTTAATGAAGCCACAAAAGTAATTCAGTTCTTAAAAAAAAAAACTGGTTCTGATTGTGCTTTTAATTACGGATCAGTTATTTTAAATATTTTGTAATAAAAACCCGTTTATTTTTTATGTGAGTTAAGAAAACCGTAAGTTCTCAAAAACAAAATTTATTTAAAGCTTTTATTAACTTTGTATAAATGTAAAATTGATTTGTTTAAGAAATGTACAATATAATCAATTAAACTTTCAAATCCCTGAAAGCATTCTTTATTTCATTTTTATTCTTAAAACAATACCTTATACGTTTTTTTAATTTGCCTGATCAATAACTTATTGTCACCTTTTTCCTATACAATCTCTCAAAGACCTTCTATGATATGTATAGGCCTCAAAGCTCTCCCCTATAGGCCATGTTCAATGCTGTTTCAGTGCCGTTAAAATAAACCCACAATAAACACGAGCGAAAAAAACGAGTTTGCCAAACGTGGCTCATTTCTAATTGAACAAAACACACAAAATTCAATGATTTACTTGTCACCTGTGTGTCTCTCTGTCCCACTCCATAGTCCCCTCTCTGTCTGTTTGTCTCGTCAACTCGTTTCGAGGGCATTAACAAATTATGTTAATTGCTTGAGCGCAAAAACAAACCAAAAAGCAACAAACTCGACAAAAAACGACTCGAAAAACAAAAGACTCGAGACACAAACTCACCCATGTCAATGGCGGATTCTATGTCATTTTGGACGCGAGCATGCAGCTGGGCGCATTTCTTCAGCTCCACATCCGCTTCCGTTGGCCGAAGAGACTTGTGCTCCCGGAGCAGAGCCAGTAGTTTCTCCATGGCAGCCAATGTCCGTACATGCGCCTTGGTGAACTCATCAATGGACTGGAAAAAAATTATGCATATAGAGCCAACTTGAGAGCCAATGAAACTGGGGCAAGTTTTGCTTACCTTGCGCTGCTGCAGCCACAGATCGTAGTTGAATAGCAAGGTGCCGCCCAGTTCCTCGGGCAGGTTCTGTGGCTCTATGAACTTGGCCAGCCGCGCCTTGGAAAGCACCAGGGGCTGAGAGGAAGAAATATTAAAAAATATTATAAATAAGTTTATTAATTGATAAATTAAGAGCTTGATCCTAAGCTTACCTCTCCCTTAACCTGTGACTTGGCGCATGGCTCTACATGCTTCTCCCAGAAACCCTCCGCCCTGACTAGATACAGATCCACATTGATATCGCCACCGAAAAGAGCATATATCTGGCGCACCTGTTGCCGTGAGATTCGCGAGCTACACTCCTGGGCATTGACCACCACACTCACTCCATTCTGCAAGACCGAAGCGCTGAAAGAGATTAATACCAAGATGGTTAATCTGAAGAGATATATATAGAGAGAGAGAGGAAAAACCGCCTTAAAAGCTTCATTAGCTTCCCAGTTAAGATTTGGCTTTAATTAACCACTCTTTTTGGGGGGAACTTTGGTGACCCATTGCCAGTTGATTGATCACAATCAATATATCCATAATTCATGTGGTCTTTCGTTCAAATCTTTCCTTAGCTACCTCGTAAATTTAAACTATTAGCTTGTTGTGCCAATAAAAAAAAAGAAACGAAACCAAAAATAGTTAAAATAAACAAAAAGACGGACTAGGCGTAGCTGTAAAGCCCATAGGCTGAAATGTTCAAAATTAAAGTAGGTTGGATCAGTGGTATATAATTTTCATAAATTAATTTTAAAGTGTTTTTAATGGTAAACATTTATGGCTGTTACTAAAACTCATTTCATCTCAACTTACTAAAATCTTTGTATTTCTCATTTCGTTTCAGATTTCTGCTAAAGGGGTAAGTGGTTTATTATTTTGTTGAGCTTTCCAAACTCGTTCTCTTTTCAAATTACCTTGATTCTTATTTTATTTATTCATTTTAGTTATTAAAATATATTTGAGGTATCTTGAAAATGAACACTTCTTTATTATAAGCCATTCTCTGGCATTCATTCGCTTTTAAACATTTTGTTAAAAGCCATTTACTTTTGCCTAAGAACCCTGACACTTTGCATATAAATAACCAGATATTGTGAGGCCTATAACCCCTTTTTTCGAGACCCGTTTTTCTAGACCTCGCCCGTGTCTAATGAAAAGTAATGCATTAAGAGAATACAGAAGAGAAAAATAAGCCTCTATCATCATCTGCGGGTTATTTGCATATTTCGGCCATATGCTAATTAGTCGGCGGCATTTTCACTGCCGGTTTTTGGAGTAACTTATACCATATAATTCTCGATTCTCACCTGAGCGAACGCTTTAGATAGTCCAGAGTCACCTGCAGATAGCGACGATTCCACAGCTGAAGATCATAGAAAGCGTTGACAACGAAAATGATGCGCTTCTGGCGATCGAATCCGCCGGATAAATAGGCACTCCGAGTCTGTAGAGCGTTCAGCACATCCTCCTCCATTCTGGGGATTTCTCTATGAGCGGTGGGATCGCGATGATATGCGGCTTCTTTAAATGCTAATTGAAGCTTTTGTCGCCATACATTTTTCTGCTGAGACACACGGGGCATAAAAAATGCTGGTTAGGATTTTCCTAGGCTTTTGTTTTGTTTTGTTTGCTGGTGGAAATGCTTGAAAATTAATACAAGTCACAGTTATGCGAGTGGTTTTTTTTTTGTTATTTTGTTGTGCCGCTGCTGCTGCTGCTGTTTTTCTTGCTGCACATTTCCAAATGCCGCCAGACTTTGTTGGGGAACACGTTTGACAAGTTGCAGCCTGAAACTTCAGTTTGCCTTTACTTTACACGGTTACACATTCCACAAAAAAACTATATATCTTTTAGATTCTTAACACATTTTGACTAAAAATCAATAAGCCTTTGTTTATATATTTTTTTAAAAGGTTTTTAACAACCTTAAAATATTAAAAACCTTATAGTCGTCAGTCTTTAAGCTTTTAATTTGTTTTAAACTATATGTTTCCTAAAAAACAAAGCCCCTGGAACCTTTATTACTTAACCTTAATCTTATAAATCATAATCGAAAGTCATTTTATTAATTTATTTTATAATTTCCCTAATTCAAATTAATTTCTCACTGTGTTTAGCCAGTCTCTCCACATGATTTTCACTATTTTCATGTTAGTTTAAGAGTTTTTTTTTTTGTTTGTAGTTTTTCCTTTTTTTTCTTATTTGTTTGCTCTCTAGCTCCGTGGAGCTAATGGAAAAATTCAATTTTTGCTCATGAGTATTTTGACATAAATTGAAGTTTTAACTCTTTTGCAGTAATTCGAACTTCATTTGTTTGGTTGATAAGGGAAACGGCGAATCGCTTACTTTGTAGTGTGTTATATAGTGCCATAGAAGCGGAAAAGCGGAGAGAGATATGAGGAAAAGTGGCAAAGGGGAAAGGGGAGGCCTCAGGTAATTCTTTCACTTGTGTGTGCCAGAAGAGAGGTACGTGCAAAAAATCCTGTTTGAGCTTGGCAGTCAGTCTATCTTACAGTTATGCGTAAGTGGTCGATGCCTCTTGCCAGCCTCTCACTCTTGGTCTTTAGTGTTTCGTCTTGCTCCGTTTTTTCTGCTATACTCTTTCCAAGGGGGTATTTTGTTTAGTTAACTAAGGTTAACCTTTAGGGCAGGTTGCAGTTAAAATATGTGACCTGGAGACCGTTAGACCTCTCCTTAGTAGAAAGATAATATATACCATAATATGCATTCATTGTAATAATGAACTTAATTCGATTTTCCTATAAAATCTTCACATTTCTATTACAAAGTTTTATAATATAAATATAAATAATCACAAGAAGAAATGTAAAATATAATCACATATGGTTTTAGGAACTTTAATAATATTTTTGGGTTCTATTTATAATTTTTCCTACTTTTAATGATTTATTCGGATGACTAAGCAAAGGGTAAATCTATCTTCTTTTTATTTTTAAATATGTTCTAAGTTATAAGGTTATTCAGTTTATGTCAGTGACGAGACTTTAATTATTCTTATTCTTAGTTCTTATATCAAATATAATATGTTTCTTTAGCTATACCTGATATATTTATTTACATAATGAATATAGATCCCAAAAAAGAGTATTCAATTGCCGTAAGCCCCGCCCAAAATCAGTTTCCCGTTTATTTTTATGTTCTAGCCAAAGCAATTTGCACTACTTGGCTTGACTTTGCAACCTGTTCCTTTGCCAGAACTCCTTTGGAACAGGAGGAGGAGCAGGTGGAGCTGGGTGAGGCTGTAATAATTGTCATAGCTGCGGATGCCTAGCGGTTTTGCCCCCTCAACATGGCTATATAATATATTTTTTTCTTTCGCATATTTTCTACACAACCCCCCTGTTACCCCCCGCGAATTGAATTTCAATTAAATGGCAGACGCGACAACCTTGCTGTTCCAGCAAACTTTATGCAAGACAAGGAGCGGATGGCATATTTCTGGTTTCAAATGTCAGGTCTGGAAATTACTTGCAAATATGGACAGAGTTATGTCTACGTCTTCATATCCAACTGAGAAGCTCAAAAATCATGAGCTGCTGTAGGGGAAAAAAAAGGGTAGCTAAGAGCCCCGCGGCGGCCTCAAATCTCTGAAATCGGGCACACCTTTCGGCCTAAACAGAGAAAAAAAACTGCTACCAAAAATAGACAATAACAAATAACAAAAACAACAAGAACCGTTTTGAGTTGCTGTTTTTTTGTTTTCTTTCAATTTCGGTTAAACTTTCTTGAGAACTTTTTTTTCGGGGTTACTTTTTCCTCGACACAAGAGCTGACTTTGAGTTGGCTTTTATTTTGTTTTATGATATGGCGATAAGATCTATGCGAACGACGGCGGGGCTGTTAAATTAATTGAAAAGTTCAGCGGCAAACAACAAAAGTCATTAGCATTTCTCCACAAAATTTGTTTTAACAGCTGACAAATGTTTTCAGCTTTTTCCAAATGAGTTTTTCAACATGTTTCAGTTCATTTTGTGTGTTATTTTGTTGGGTAATTTGACTGATTGTTGATTTGATATGCGGCAAGGCTTTTATCGATTTTGAGGTCTTACTTTTAGGGGTAAAGATTTCGAAATCTGGGGAATATCTTATCGCGACTAAAAAAACATTGATTTATTTATCCATCCGACCGATTAGAATTCTCGCGCTCAACTGATATTTCTTACCAAAAGTTTTTAAAGTTCAGTTCGATCGTAGATCGTAGCCAACCTGGTTTCAAGTTGGAGTTGCTGTTCGATGTATGTTTCGGTTGGAGTTGCAGTTGGTCGCGTGTCAGCTGTTCTTTTGTTTGGTTGCACTTCCATCGATTGGAAATTGTAGGGTATTTTAGTGCTATTCAGTATTTTTTGTTGCTTTTTTTCCTGCAGCACCTTGCCCCCTTTTTTGTGGGGCAATTGAAACCGGTTAGGGATTTCTTTTCCACGCAAGTGCGCAAAATTAAAACAAAACATGCGTTTTGTCTGCCAATGATGGAGAGAGAGATATATCAGAGATTCTGTGGGAGCTCTCTGGGAGTTTCTTTCCGCATTATTTTCCTTATCTTAGGTTTTCAGATTTTATGGGTATGATGAACTTGGAAAGAAAGTTGTGTTGCAGTGCTTTTGGAAGTGTGGGAATTTATTTAAATGAAAATGTGCAGGGTGTAAAATTTAATTATAGTTGTGAGAGTGCATAGCCATTTATTTTTATTATGTATAATTTATACAAGTATAAATACTGGGAAAAATTTTAGTTGAGTTTTATTATATATCTTATGAATAAAATATAATCATAAAGATACAAAAAAAGGCATCTTTAATAGTTTGGATACGAGTTTTCTAAGTTATGCTTCCTTGCACTTATTTTTCTTCACATTTTTCATCAACTCTCTACAATTTCCAGGGTATTACTCCTTCGATTTATCCATATCCTCATCATGCCTTTCATTTTTTATTTGTTTGTTGTTTTATTCATGTATTGGTTGACGTGGGAACTTTTAATTGTGTGTGCAGACGGGATTTCGAACAATACCAGGAATTGTTGTCCGCTGTCTGTGATGTCTCCTGGCCCCTGTCCGCTTCTCCCTTTCTGTCCGCTTCTCCCTTTCTGTCCGCTAAAGAAAAGTACTTGGAAATGCAAAAGGATATTTAGTATGCTCCTCTGACAGCGCAAATATCAAAGATTTATATATTTTTTGCAGAGTGAATGCTTCCAGCAGCAGTCCAGAAACGTTTCAGGCTTCACTTGTTTATGAAATGGGAGACAAAAAGAAAAACAAATATTTCCAAACGCCCACCCGCCTTGGAAAAAAAGGGTCCAAGGACAAATGAGTGGGTTGTGCTGCTCCTGCGACCCTTATAAACATGTCAATCACAAGTAAATTGTTGCAGATTTAATGGTCGCCCAAGGAATGTGGGTCGGGCAATAGGAATCCCAGCCAGGGACAGCATCACTCGGATCCACTGAAATGCAAACGGCATTTCCCGAGCTGTGTCAGCAGGGGCTTAGGAAAAGGGGTTACAGTGAGCACTCGATAGAGGGAAATTGGTCGAAAAATATAAATTACCTAAGAGAAAAAAATTTAGGAAAATATATGATATATATATGATTTTAAAGAAGTGTTACCCACATCCTAGTCTCAAAAGACAGCAAATTTCTTTGCCCGGTCCCTTCTTAAATATACTTCAACATGATTTAAAACATCATAAAAGTTTAATCAAATGTCAATTTACGAAGCTTGACCATACTGTAGATACTGTAGAACGTCCGTCATAGATTTCGATTTCCATTTCACTGCTTACCATGAATTTATAGGCAATCTTTGGAGGCCTAGGCGTTGGCAATGGTTTTGTTTAATGAAACTTAAAGTGCGTGCCAGTCCGCTCGAGCACGTAAACCGAAGGCAGTGTTGGAGGGAGCAGTCTTTGGCAGGCTGAAGGACTCGTGAGCTGCACTCGATTGCAATGGCTGACCGCAAAATGGCGGCGAAAGCACTTCCGCTTGGTGGAAAAAAAGTCATGGAACTGAGCATCATCGTACGTGAAATGTTGCCAGTGCTTTAGCTTGTTTTCCCCCATTTTTCCAGTTTTTTTTTTTTGTAAATATTACTGCGAGAAGGCAGACCCTCGGACAGCTTTAACAGCTATTAGAAAATTGCGAAAATTGCGCACACGTTTTCGCTGAGAGAGCGAGAAAAGCGAACGTTGCATGCGGCTGGGCAATCGAGTGCAGTTTGTGGCCTCCTCAGATTTATAGCAGTCAAGAGAGAGAAAGAGGGAAACTGCCAGAGACTGCTCGCATTTTAAACAGTTTTTCGTTAAGTTTGGTTTATTAAGCCCCTTCGCCACGGCCGATGCATAATTCATTCGGTTTAAGGGTTTTCCAACGATTCATTTCAATCATGGCCAGGAGAGCACCACACCAGAGACCAGACCAGTCCAGAGGGCTAGGTCGTGTGGCTCGTTTTAAATCATTAAATGCGGTAGTTTTTGGCCATTTTATGGCCCAGCCTAAAGGTGTGGTATCAGGTGATGTTTATTGGACAGATGCAGGCTATAGAATGACTTTAATACCTCTTCTTTTGGTTGCACACAATTTATGGTCTTTACCTTGAATAGTTTTTCTCATTTGGGGTGAAAGTTTAGGACCAGCAAAGTTATTGAACTTGGAAAGAGTTTTGCAAAAGAAGTGAATGGAAATTAAGGAAATAAACTAAGCTTATACTGGGAATATATTTTCAAAAGTGCGATCTTAAATATTTTTCCTTGCAAGGAACCAACATTTTAAATTAATTTTAAAATGCAAACCTAAAGTTTTCATCCATTTTTCAAATACTTCTTCAAGTCTGATAAATTTTAAAAGTTTTCCAATTAACCGAAAGTTGATTTAAGTTTATCCCCAGATGCTCGTTGAATTTCACATGAATCCCATATTCCGCGTAAGCGTCGTTTATCTAGTGAAATAATGGCCCACATTCACTTTCATTAATAAAAGGTTGCCCCGCCAAAAATTCATCAACTTTTCTTGCCATTAGAAGACCCCAACCTGATGCGTTCCACGAACGCTGTTGTGTTCCTCTTAACCTCTTTAAAAAGCCCTGCCTGCTTAACCCAATATCGCACCAAAGAAATTGTTGCTGAAATCGGAGGCAGCGCAATCCGTTCAAGTTTCAGCCATTCAAAAAAGGGGGAAAATTTAAGTGGCGGGGAATAACCACCCAAAAAACCACTTTAATTTTGCAAATCTAGGCATATGCCAAGGGAGAATCTAGGCTTTATGGTTTCACCTTCCAAAATATAAAAGAAAAAATATGAATGGGAGGAACCCCGGCGGGGCGTCTCTGATTACAGTCGAAATATGCCACGTGTATATAGCCTACATACATATATGTATGTGTGGGTCTCATCTAAAAATCTAAAAATCAATAGTGATGGAGAGCGGAGCGATTTTCTTGTATTTTCTCAGCTTTTTCACTCGAACGTTAATTGATTGAATTAGCCAGCCGAGCGCAGCCGAGTGAGGAGACAAAGGGAAACTCCTCCATAAATATTAATATGGCCAATAAAAATGTATGACAAGGAAATTATGCGAGGCACAGAGCACACAAATGTTTAAAATTCAACAATGTCCTGGGATTGGAACTGCTGCTCGACAACAGCAAATAACAAACCGAAAAACAACAACGACAACAAAGTCCTTAAATTAATAAATGCCATTTCCCATTGCCACACCCAATTTTTGGGTACCTTTCTTCCATCTCTCACTCTCCCAGAAGAAAATCTTAACGCTTTTCATTCGTAACTAGGCGTCGGCCTACAAGTAGGAAACGGAATTTCCAACGCTTGCTGGAAAATTAATTTTCAATGAAGCCATCAACAGCGGCGAAAACTTTCTCACAATTGCTTTTCGGGTTTGCGCATCTAATTTACATTTATTTTCGGTTAGCTGATTACTCTTCATAACTCATAACACACACATTTCCTGAAACTATTCTTAAGTAACTTGAGCTTGGTTTTCAAGGATATTTCCAATTGTTTTTCAATGCAGCTTAACTTTTTTCATTCCGTTGGATCGGAATCTATTGCTATTGCCTCCTCCTCCGTAGCGCTAATTGTTCTAATGCGCTCAAGCAGTAAGCTGCTTAAAATTGCTTAAATTGCAAGTGAACTTGGGGAGGGATTGGGAAATTTCTGAGGAAAATGAGGAGAATTTACCGCAGGATACACATATCCAGACGAGAGACTGCCTGCTGAGGCATTAACATCACCAAGGCACTGCCTGGTATTTACACATCACTTGTGGAATTACGAGAATTAGGGAGGCGGAGGTCAATAATCAGTAATCGCATCAGACAAAGAGATTGCGGAAAATAGTGCAGTTGTGGGGGGAAAACTAAACTATACTATATATGAAATTAATAAATATTTAAAGGGTAATAAATAAATAGGAAACTATTAGTAGTAGTATTAATTACATTTATTTTCATAACTAAAATATAAAGTAATAACAACAATATGATGGCTGGCTGTAGTTAATACTTCTTCCTACTTCATTTTGATCTAAAATCTTTTCCAAAATCAGGTCAAAGTTTGCTATAGCAACTCCTGTTCTCCTCCTTAGAGCTCGGTTCCAAGTCCTTACCCGTTAAAGACCATGATGTAAGGACTGGTGGTCGATGATGTTGTATAAAGGGCACTATATACCGGGCACACTCCTCGGCGGCATGAAGATGGACATGATGGGTTCCCCCAGGCACCTCGTAAAACTCAAAGTGAGGATTATTTTGACCCAGAATGGACATGGGCTCCTCACACTCTACTCCCACATACGGTGACTTAGATCCCTTGATGATGAGATAGGGTTTCCTTCCTATACGTCGCGCCAGTTCAGCGGCTAGGCCACGTTCTGTATGAATGGTGTGATAGAACTTTATCCGTCCATCTCTGGAAAAGTAGAATCGATCCGGGTAGAGCTCTGACTTGGTCACCTGGCGATAAAGTAGATGCTTGGCCAGTTCAGGTGTCACAGAGTTCATGCTCCCTTCGGCAAGGGCTTTGCACAGCTCAGACAAAGTGTAGGAGGGTGGCTCGTGAAGACTAGCTTCATCCCGCCGATCTTCCTCTATCAGGTGCTTTTCCATAGCCTGGGCCACCTTCTTAATGCTTAGCTCAGCATCTCGAAGTGGATTGCTTAGTAGAATATCCAGAGAGATAACCATATCCACCGTGTGTGGAGCGAGACCTGCATAAAAGAAGCTAATGATGCCGCCCAGGGAATGACCCAAAAGGGAGACCTTCTTCCAGCCATACTCATGCATAACCCTAGGAATGATGTACACAAATTCATAAATGCTGTAGTGCATTCCTGGCGGCAGATGAGAGGATCTTCCATGACCCGGAAGATCGATGCATAGGATTCCTATATAATCAGGGAGCAGGGGAATTAGTCTATCAAAGGTTCCCAGGTTGTCTAGCCAACCATGAATGGCAAGTATTGGTCGATCCCTTCGATTGCCATACCAACGACCGGAGATATGACCCCAAGGAGCGGGGATCCTCACCTCCTTACACTGTAAATAAAACGGGGAAATTAAAGCTTGATAGCTAAAACGGTTAAATTACAATATAATATTATTTTAACACAAAAGTAATCTATATACGTCTGCTAATTATCGATGCTTATCGTTTAATAAAATTTAAAATGTGCTTATCAACTTAGATAAACCGTAGCTACTTTGAGACAAGTGCACAATTTCAATAGCTTTCAAAAAGACGTTTTCTTTAGCGTTTCTCAGAGAGCACCAAGTATTATCTCTACCGATCTGATCTCTTTAGTATATTCTTTATACTTACATCGTTCAATGACAACGTTCCCATGTCGACAAACGACACACTGAACTTTGAGCTTTGCTAGCTTTTTTCACTTGAACTAGTACTTTTTTGGCGACCTCCGATATTATATTGCCAAATAATTAAACCATCCCCGAAGAAAAGTCTGGGAATTTAGAACATTCCCTTTCGCTGTTAAACAGCAACTAATTCTAGTTGTTCGCTTACTTAGCAATCTTTGGTTTGCCTGAATTTTAAAGAGAGTTCAACTGAATGGTTAAGAGAATGTCATTGAACTGGTAAACATATAGTCAAAGCATTTATGAAGAGCAATTTCTCTTAAAAAACAAATCGTATTAAGAGTATTTACAATGAGAATATGTGTTACCTTATTCTGTTGGAAACATGAATAAAAAGAGAAGTATAATTATTCGTTTGTTTTTAATATTCTTGACCAACCCTAACTTCAAGTACCGAACTCTTTCACTTTTTAGACTATTTATTATTCAAATTATTATTTTTTTTTTACTAAAGAAAATGTTAATAATAAAACTTTTCTTTACTACAAGTTTTTTTTAAAGTTTACTGGGATTATTCCTGATCATCGCTAGATATTTCTCCTGTTCCTTGGGTTTCTCTGTTAGACTTAGTTCAGCTTCCTTTCCAGCCAAAGACCAAGATGTAAGGACAGGAGGTCGATGATGTCGAATAAAGGGCACTATGTACCGGGCACACTCCTCGGCAGCATGGAGGTGAATATGATGGGTGCCCTCCAACTCGTAGAACTCGTAGTGCGGATTGTTTTGACCCAGAATGGACATGGTTCCCTTGCATAGGTCAAGCGGCAAGTGAATTGACTTGGAACCCTTTATAATCAAGTAGGGTTTCCTTTGTATACGTCGCGCCATCTCTTCACCCAATCCGATGGATAAAGGGGTTATATTGTAGAACTTGATTCGTCCATCCCTGGAAAAGAAGAATCTATCCGGATAGAGTTGAGATTTGGTGACTTGGCGATGGAGCAGATGCTTGGCCAACTCAGGAGTCACGGAGCCGGAGCTTCCTTTGGCCAGAAGCTTACATAACTGGGTGTAGGAATAGGAGGGAGGCTCGTGAAGATGTCCCCCTACCTGCCGATTCTCCTCGACCAGGTGCTTCTCCATTTTCTGAGCCATATGCTCCGACTCTTTCGGAATCGATAAAGGCAGCAATTTGTCCAAGGAAATTACCATATCGACTGTATGAGGAGCCAGGGAAGTGTACATGAAGCTCAGGACGCCACCCAGCGAGTGTCCCAACAGGGATACCTTTCTCCATCCGTACTCCTTCATGATCAGGGGAATGATGTAAACGTAGTCGAGGACACTGTAAAACATTCCCGGTTGTATGTGCGAGGACCTTCCATGTCCTGGCAGATCGATGCATAGGACTCCGATGTAGTCTGGGAGCAGGGGAATGAGTCGATCAAAGGTTCCCAAGTTATCCAGCCAGCCATGGATCGCAAGAATGGGTCGTTCTCTACGGTTACCGTACCAACGACCTGAGATATGACCCCAAGGGGCAGGAATTTTCACATCCTGAAACTAAACAGATCAATTATATAAATAAATTGAGTAAGGAGTATAATTTTAATTGTTTTCATTAACGATTATACCAGCTTCCTTCGAGAGAATCTCTTAGTTTCTCCAAACTCCATATAGATAATTCTCTTAAAACCAAATTTACTAGCTTATCGCTGTATATTAACAGTTATTTTCACGCGCTCTTGAAGCACTTCCGATTGAGAAAACATAAAGAAATAAACCGGCTGTTGTTATCTTTTCCTATTTCGTATTTCACATTTCTGCACACTCACATCGCTCAATGACAAAGTTCCCATCCCGACGGCCTTTTGAACTTTGCTCGTCGGCAACTTTTAGACTCGATTTAATACCACTGTTCCGTATTATCTTCAAAATTATGTATATGAATAAGCACTTTTCAAATGCTACTTCTAACACCAGCAATAGCTTTTTTTCGACTAACCTGCGATTATTAAAAGTGTTTACATTTTATGTCTGCCAAAAAAGCGAGAGTTTTTGTGAGCTTTTAGGAATGAGTAAATAGATTAGAGACCTTTTAGAATTTTTTTGGGAATACATACATACATACATACCATACATACAATAAAAGCAGATTTCTATTTAACATATAAACTTGAGTACACACATTTATTTACAATTTTTATATGATTAAAAACATAATAGGTGTTTTTTTGTTTTTGGTTAAACAATTATCATGTCAGTTATCAAGTTTCTTCAATAGTGTTTTAATGTTTAATACTATACACTATATTCCATCTACCGATGATGAATGAAAATCTTTCGACAATTATTTTAAATCAATTGAACTTTGTACTTTTGGTGTTTCACAATTTGCTGCGCTTCTTTTTGCCCCAACTAAACAGTCGCCTCTGTTGGCTTTTGTATTCCTTGGCGGCCAGTTGATCTTCCTTTCCTGTAAGGGACCAGGATGTGAGAGCTGGAGGACGATGGTGCTGGATGAAGGGCACTATATAGCGGGCACACTCCTCTGGAGCATGAAGATGCAGATGATGTGTGCCGCCCTCCACTTCGTAGAGCTCGAAATGTGGATTATTCTCGGACATAATTAAGATTGCCTCATGACTCCTAAGCGTTAGAAATGGTGACCGTGAACCCTTGATGATGAGAAAGGGTTTCATTTTCAATTGCTTTGCCATCTCCCTGCCTAGGCCTTCATCAATATCCATGTAGTGATAGTTCTTAACGCGACCATCCCTGGAGAAGTAAAATCTTTTGGGATACAGCTTCGATTTAATTAGCTGGCGGTGGAGCAAGTGCTTGGCCAGCTCAGGAAACACAGAGTTATAACTTCCCTTGGCCAGGACTTTTTCCAGCTGTGCGGTGGTGTATGAAGGCGGTTCATTATAATTTCCCTCCTTCTGTCGCTCGACTTCCACAAGCTGCTTCTCGATACTCTGCGCCATGTAGTCTATATTATTCCTCAAGGGCAGTAAAATATCCACGGAAATGATCATGTCCACGGTATGAGGTGCAAGGGATCCATAGAGAAAGCACAGGTAACCACCCAAGGAGTGACCAATCAGGGAGACCTTTGTCCATCCGTACTCCTTCATCACAGTTGGAATGGTTAATACGTAATCGTAGACGTTGTAAAACATTCCAGGTTTTAGGTGCGAAGACTTTCCATGTCCCGGAAGATCGATGCATAGGATTCCTATATAATCAGGGAGCAGGGGAATCAGTCGATCGAAGGTTCCCAAGTTGTCCAGCCATCCGTGTAGCGCCAGAATGGGTCGCTCCTTCCGATTTCCATACCAACGGCCCGAGATGTGACCCCAAGGCACGGGAATTTTGACATCCTCAAACTAAAAACGTAAGAAGTGTTAGTTTTTAACTCACAATTCTTATTAACTGGTGTTCAAAGGTCACGCATGACATCTTTCGTTGCGATTTTTGGCTTACTTACATCACTCAATGATATTGTTCCCATGCCTTTTAGATTGTGACGGATCTTTATTAATTTCAGGTTCAATGAATTCCAGTTACCAGGAACTTTAGTCAGTTCTTTTCTTCTCAAGAGTTCTTTTTCCACTACATCATGTTATTGGGTTTCTTGGCTTTATCAAGAAATGCACACATAAAGAGATTCCGGTTTATCTAAAGAGATCACTTAAAGAGAGTTCCACTCTCTTTATTATAAAGCTCTCGACGATAATAAACAAATATGAGAGAGAAAATATAGAAGCCGCGTGTGGTTTTCAGTTTTTATAATTGTTTTGAGCACTCTTGGAATTGATCTAGTTTTCTTTGCTGCTGATAGTCTTAGTTTTATTTAAATTTTAGATGGTTTCTTTGATTTTTTATTCAACAAATTAACTAATAACAAAACACACGAGTATTACGTCCATTCAGTTCAACAGCTAACAACAACTGACCAAAATAATAATAAAGCTTTTGAGGGGAAAAAGTTGTCGGATCTTTCGGGGCGAATGGCTTTATTAATTTTGTTATTTTAATTAAGCTTTCTTGATGTCGCTTACTTTTTCAAAACAAGCTTAATGTTTCTTCAAAATAAATTTCAAAGTTTGCAATATTAATTTGTAAATGTATAAGGTTGTTTCTTTAAGAGATGATCTCATATTGGTTCTGGCTAAAAAATGATACATTAAATGGAATTATATTGCAATTTCGATTTAAAACAGACACAATGGGTATAAATGCTTCCAAAGATTTAAAATCTTTAAGTTGGGGGTAATGTTTTAATGACTTGAAAAGATAAGCTTTAGAAAGCTTTTTAACAATCTTATTCAGATCTTTTTTCATTTTTTAATTTAGAACAATTTTATAAAGACCTGGTTGCATAGTAACCGCAGAAAAATGATTATGGTTCAGAAATCTAGCCATAAAAACTGCAAGTACCGAGTTCATTGACTTATTCGTATCTAACAAATACTATTATCATATAATTTATATTTTCAAGTATATAATATATCACAGTTTGCTTCGATTATTACTGCTCCTCGTTGGATATTCCTTCGGTTCCCTGTGTCTCTCTGTTCGGCTTACTTCCGCTTCCTTTCCAGCCAAAGACCAAGATGTTAGGATAGGAGGTCGATGATGTCGAATAAAGGGAACTATGTACCGGGCACACTCCTCGGCAGCATGGAGATGAACGTAATGGGTGCCGCCTTCCACCTCGTAGAGCTCGAAATGCGGATTATCTTCGGCCATAATGCCGATTGCCTCGAAACTCCTTTGTGAAAGATATGGTGACCGTGAACCCTTGATAATTAGAAAGGGCTTCCCCTTCACTTGCCTCGCCATCTCCATGGCTAGACCGTCGTCGACGTCCAAAAAGTGATAGTTCATTATCCGTGCGTCCCTAGAAAAGTAGAATTTCTCGGGATAAAGTTTCGACCTGGACAGCTGACGATGAAGAAGGTGCTTGGCCAGCTCAGGGAACTCGGACTTAAACCTTCGCTTGGCCATCGTTTTTTCCAGTTGAGCGAATGTGTATGAAGGTGGTTCCCTATAATTTCCATAATTTTGTCGCTCGATTTCCACAAGCTGCTTTTCGAATTTCATTGCCATATTTTCGATTTTATTTTTCAACGGCAGCAAAATGTCCAGGGTAATGATCATGTCTACGGCTTGAGGGTTAATGGACGCGTACATGAAGCACTGGAAGCCGCCCATGGAGTGACCCATAAGGGAGACCTTTGTCCATCCGTATTCCTTCATCACAATTGGAATTACAGTAACATAATCGCTATAAAACAATCCGTGTTGTATGTGCGAGGACCTTCCATGTCCTGGGAAATCGATGCATAGGATTCCTATATAATCAGGGAGCAGGGGAATCAATCGATCGAAGGTTCCCAAGTTGTCCAGCCATCCGTGTAGCGCCAGAATGGGTCGCTCCTTCCTATTGCCATACCAACGACCCGAGATGTGACCCCAAGGCACGGGTATTTTGACATCCTCAAACTGACAAAAAAGTAATTGCTCTGAGTCAGATCTCGAGTGTTATTTCTTATATCATAATTGTTATTTAATTTGTTGGCTTACTTACGTCAGTTATTGATATAGTTCCCATTTCTTTTGGATTGTTAACTTAGTAACGAAGTTGATAGGATCTTCTTCACTCAAGACTCTTTTTTCGACTAATTCATTTTTTTGGTGTTCTCTGCTTTTATAATTAAATATATATAAACAGAGAGATTTTGGTGATTATGAAGAGCTTTCTCAAAGATAGTCTTTTATTGAAAAGCTTTTGACGATAAACAAAAATGAAAGCGAGATAATATTGTAGCCATAGGTCAAGTGTTACGATTAATCGAATTTAATTTCTTAGTATTATATTTATTTTACAGATCTTAATGGTTTAGATATAACAAACATTGATTCCTTAGAATTCATGATAATTCAACAAGAAAATTTAATTTTAGCTCTTCTAGCGTTTCTTACTCTCACAGTTTGCTAGGTTGTTCTTGGAAACTGATATTATTTTCCCGATTAGATTGATCCTCTTGAGGACGATAACGCTGGATAAAGGGAACAATGTATCGGGCACACTCCTCCGCAGACTGCAAGTGTAGATGATGAGTGCCACCTTCAATTTTGTGGAACTCAAAGTGAGGATTCCCATTGGCAAGAATGGAAATAACCTCGTCGCTGCGAGGTTGCAAGTATAAGGACTCAGTTCCCTTCAGGATGAGGTAGGGCTTATTTCCAATACGCCTTGCCATCTCGACGCCAAGTCCCGTATCGATATCCCAATAACTAAAATACTTAACTCTTCCATCCCTGGAGAAATAGAATTTATCCGGATCGGAATAATTCTGTGACTTCATCACCTGACGGTGGAGCAGATGGTGGGCCAAATCCTCAGTTACAGAGTCCAAGCTTGCTACAGCAATGTTCCTACTCATTTGGGCAAGAGTGTAGCTTGGCGGTTTCTTATCTTTATCCGCCAGCCTTCTCCGGTCGTCCTCAACCAATAGCTTTTCCTGATTGCTGGAAAACATTTCAATTGCCAAACTATTTTCCACTCTCATGGGCAGCAGTACGTCCAGGGAAATAACCATGTCCACCGTGTCCGGAGCCATTGCCGCGTATGCAAAGCTCATAATGCCACCCAGAGAGTGCCCCAGTAGGGACACCTTGTTCCAACCAAAATGTTTAACCACACAGGGAATGATGTAAACCAAGTCATAGACACCGTAGTTAATTCCCGGCGGCAGGTGCGAGGAGCGTCCATGACCGGGAAGATCGATGCACAGAACTCCTATATAATCTGGGAGCAGGGGAATCAGTCTATCAAAGGTTCCCAAGTTGTCCAACCAACCGTGGATCGCCAGGATGGGTCTCACTTCTTGGTTACCATACCATCGACCCGAAATGAAACCCCAAGGAACCGGAATTTCCACTTCAGAAAACTGCATGGAATGGTTCTGATATTTTTAAATATTTACTTAAAATTGAATAATTTTTTTGCTTACTTACATCTTCAATCGAAATCCGTTTCATTTTGAATACAATTAGGTTTTACTTCTTAATAAAATGTTATTATTTAGCAACTAGATTAGTTTTGGGAAGAAGCATGCAGGGTGCCTACATCTTTCAGTTTAAAGAACAATGTTCCGACTGATTTGGAGTAATATTTTAATAGCTTGAAAAGATAAGCAATAGAAAGCTTTTTTAACAGTCTTAAAGAAGCTTTTTGGTAAATTTAGAATATTTCAGAGAAGTGTGGCAAAGAGAGCATAGTAACCAACATATTTGTTGTTTATATTTAATCGAATTTAATCTGATAGAACTCAACGAATACATGAAAGGTTATCCTCAAACTTACGGTATAAATATCTTATAAAACGATATAAATTCCTATTGTGATATGAGAAGATCACTTAGTCAAGATGTCGGATTTAATCTTGGATGAATTCCAGTCATGGCTTAAATCGAATTTCGCCAGACCCGACGACGTCCAGAGTCAATAAGCGGCAGTGGGATTTTGGGGAATGTGTCGATTACTACGTGACGTTCGAATCAAATCGAGTTTTACGTTTCTTCACAAGGAGAAACCAGCACGATGCACGCGGTTACACTGGGTTGACCTGAGAGTGGTCATGTCCTGGCTATAGTCCTAGACTGACTTCGATGTCGTGTCCCATCACGTTTTGGTTATTTTTAAATTTTTGAGGATAGATTTAAGATAAGTTCTGCAACACACTTGCTCCAACTTTAAGCTTATATTAAGCTATCATTACATCGAAATCCCTATTCTTGGACTTTCCATTTCTGGCTGCCATTTTGGGGGGCTTCTTCCTGGCCAACTGTCTCCCCAAGTGTGATTACCTTCCGCTGTCTTTCCCCTCGACTGCATGTGACTGCCATTCAGCCATATCCTGGCCGCCTTCACACTCCTTGGCCACAGCATGACCCTTAATTTGCATTTGGCCAAATTTCCTTGTGCATTTCAATCGTGTGCGTGTGTGTGTTTGTGTGTGAGGAACTACTGCAGCCATGATTTATCTTTAATTTATGTTTGAGTAATTTATCATGTCTACTGGGGGCCCCACCCCTTGTTGTGCCATTTTCCCTTGTGGGCCGGGCAGGAGGCGGTCCTTGTTCTCACCATGCAAATTGTCTTGAGTTTTCCCCAAAGTGAAAGTGCCATTTCGCTGGCTCTAGCGAAGGGGAAATATGTGCGTGTATTGGCCTTGAATCCATAATTTGCCTGTCAACGGCAGCGACGACATCGTTGTCGGCGCCTTCTTCGTCATCGTCGTCGTCGTGGCCCAAAAATTGTGCGCACATAATTGAGTTCAAGCATTTGGAAGCCAATTATGATTTCCCACTTCTACCGCCAACCTTCTCCATTTTCTGCGGCTCTCCCTTTTCGGTCCCTTTTTCACATCTCAATCAAAAGTGCGGGCGTGTCCTTTTTCCTTTCACCTCCTTTTCCTTGCTTCCCACCTCCTTGCAGCCTTCGACGTGGCTTTAATTGCCTCTGCCACTTAACATATGCAAATTAAATTTAATTCTTTTCCTGGCAACCGGATCTCTCTTCCATTCTTTTCTTCCCTTTTTCTTCTTTGGGTCACATTTTCCGGAGAGGACACCTTAAGTGGAAAAGCAGCTCACCTTCAGTTTGATAAATATTTATGATGGCCAATGATAGTTGGTCTTGCGGAACAGCAGCTGAACAAAGAGCCAAAGGGTTGCCCATTTCCTAGAAGCCTTTATTTCTCTTGATTCTCTCCTAAAAAAATATAAAAGGAAGAAAGCGGGGAGATACTGGAAAAAAAGTAAAGCAAATAAATAAACAATATGTGATGCTTTCAACCTGTCAGCCGAGTCCTTGAGCCGGGGATCAGCTTCACAAAGACACCGCCGGAAGTCTCGACCTGATACGCATGCAACTCCGCAAAAAAAAGCAAAGAAAATTCGGAGGAAATGGCAGGAAAAGCGGTGGGGGAAAGTTGGGCGCCGCTATTATGCTTTATGCGCTGCTATTTTTACGACAGGAATTTTCTCCTCTTTGGGGCCAAAGTGCGAGTGAGATTTAAGCCCGAACAATGGCTCCGGGGTTTTGGTAGAGAAAAAATATGTACTTTATAGGAGAATGTGTAAGAAATTGCATTAAGAAATCATTTTCGTTTTGCGATGGCTGCCATGGAGCTCTTTTTTTTCCGTGGCTCCCGAATGGGGTTTTTCATGGATTTTCCCAGGTTTTTCACGGATCCCACCAGCCAGAGCCCTGTGAGTCTAATTCAAATGAATTATTTGAGCCAAAAAGTTTCACATTCGTTGCATTTTTCGGGGCTTGCGGTTTTAACAACACATTTCTTTGGCTAATGAATTTGACTACTAAATGTATAAGCGGCTGTGCGAGTGTGTATTTATGCATACATGCAAGTGTGTGCTCGTATAATTGTATTTCCTCTAATTATACAGCAGAGCTGGAAATTTGCATTTGAATATATGTACATACATATGTACATTTAAATTTACATTTAGTTTTCCAAGGGGCTAAACTTGCAGAAAGCCCAAAAACCTACATTCTCTCTCTCTGTGCACATTGCATATTACATTAAAAAATTCCAGAAAATTACGAATGTAAACCAGAGCTTTGTGGCCTGAAACTTGATGCTGCTGCACTTGAAATTTACCTCAAAAATACCCGACTTTATTGAAAGGTAAAGCATTTTTCCTCAGGTGCGGTAGTTGTGCAAATTTGATTATGGATATGAGAAGAAATTCTACATTAAATAGGCAATAATTGGTTTTTGTGTTGGGATCAATTAAATACGAAAATTGAACAATGCATTTATAATTGCTCATTGGCAGTGAATAAAGGGTAAAGGTTAATTACTTATTTAGTTCAAATAAAACGTTGATGCTTATCAGCAACTAATTGTATAACGTTCAAAAGGCAGTTGCTTTAATCCCCTATGATTTATTGTTAACAGTTTACTAAGCTCATCATGTATACTACTATTTAACTTAATCAACTCAGTTTATTAAAACTAAGATATTGAACCCCAGGCTAAACCTCCCTTTGATTTACTCCAATAGTTAGTCGTTAATCCACTTGATTTCGTAGGTCACAGCTCAAAGCCTGCCATGATTTATGGTCTTTTCCCGCTGTTCACCTAAGTATGCAATTGTTTAGGCTTATATTTACTTAATTTACTTAATCAAGTGTTTGCCAGAGCCACAATGGCCAACGCACTCAATCCCAATAAATTAATTAACCAAGAAATTTATGATTATTGCCAACAATGAGTTTGCTCTTTTCCGGCGCCCTTTTTCTTTTATTTTTCTTTGACTTTGACTTTCACTTTGGTTTATTCATATATTTGTGGCCAAATTGTATACACTGGCAGTTCATAAATAATTCGTATAATTTATGCATTGTCATATACTGACTAATGGCGGGGGTACTTCGCTCTTGACAGACGGGATAAACCGATTGTATACGCTGCCGGCTCTCGACAACTCAATTGCCCGGCTGGCACTCAATTTGCACAGCAGCCAGGAGCAGTGGCCGTGGAGGCGAAACGGGAAACGAAGATTTCATAATTCAAATTCTTCGATTTATGGGCAGTATGGTATAGTCTCCTACGGGATGGAGGCTTATCATAGCCCCGTGAACCGGCGGGTATTTCGCACTTGAGCCGGCCCCCAAACAATCGTAATTTATGATTGGACAACCCAAAAACGCACTCTACTTGTGCGTAATGCCAAGACAATTGTGTGTGTTGGTGCAACTGCAGAAATGCCCCAGCATTCGTACACTGTGAAAAAGGAAAGGGGTCCTTAATAAAGCCTTTGTAAAAGATTGTAAAGTATTTAGAAACAAAATTCTTGGTATTTATATATATTGAAAGCAGGAAGTCAAATATCTGACTAAAATAATACTCCAAAAAGAAAGAAAACTATCTTTGAGAGGCCGAAGCTTTTAAATCCTTTCATCGAATCGATGTTTATAAGTGTTTTTATATGAGAATTTTTTTGACAACTCAAAGTTTAAAATACTCACAACTTAGCCAAAAATGCATTAATTTTAATTCGGAAAGCAGTGTTTTGCAAATTTTTGTTAGGATAATAAAACTGCATACTCAATAAAAAATGTAAAAAAATAAAATTTTTATTCCCAAATTTCAACAATATTAACTATGTAAAATTTTGAAAAAATTGTACATTTCTTTTTTTGTTCCAAAATTAGCTAGATCGACTCGGCTTTTAATGCTGATCAAGAAAATATATGATTTATAGGGTCGGAAATGACTTCTTCACTGAGTTATAAGCTTTTGACTGAAATTATAATACCCTGCAAGGGTATAAGAACCACAAATTATTTACAACAAGAAATTAAACATACCCTTGTATACCCTTGCAGATTGAAATTCGATCACTAGGAATTAATACAATATAAATTATTTATATTTATGTTAAAAAACAATAAAGTAATGCCTGCGATAGATACTTACTGTTCAAAGTTACTTAATGCTCATTGATACTTACTGATCAGAGTTACTTACGGGTCATAGATACTTACTGATCATAGTTAAATTAAATATCAGCTCGCTGCTCCTCTCTGCCTCTCCCCCTCTCTCGCTATGTTAATCGCTCTATGTTAATCTCTAGAGGCAACAGCTTCTCTCTGCCTCTCCCCTCTCTCGCCATGTTAATCGCTCTATGCAACAGCTTCTCTCCCACGCACTCACACTCTCTTCTCTTCTCTTCTCTGCTCTGCTCGCGGACTATAAATAGAGGCGCTAAGGTCGCGCGCGCCTCAGTCTGTCCTAGGGGTACCTAGTGTTAACATCTCAAGTGAAAGTGCAAGTGATCACCCTTCGACCCCAAAAAAATGACGTGGCCAATGAAATACATCTGGATGACTAGGAAGAAGTTCACTTAGATGAAGTCACCATTC